TCTACTCGAAGGGCAAAGAAATCAGCTAGAAATTGAGGCAGAGCATTGTCGACGGATCAAGCTTTAGTTTGTGGCCTCCCGATTTGCTGCACTTGCAGCTAAGGTCGACGTCTTCATCAGAGTTTGGGGCAGGCCCTTCAGCACTCAACAATGTGCTGAACAAGACGCGCGTTCAAATTCAGGTAAAGAAACTTCGTTTTCAAGCGATCCATGCCTCCAGGTGGCAGGCGATGAAGGCAAGCTAGCATTTTTCATGTGCACTACAACGACCATCCAGCGGGATAGGGTAAGTAGTTCCGCAACTTCTTTCCCTGGCAATGGCTTCACTAATTTTGTTGGTGTTTTCAGACCTGCTACCTTTGTAGCAACATGCGCCACAAGTAGCGCATTTTAGGAATTTGAGAAAACTCTTTGTTCTTGCCATTGTCAACTTCAGCATTTCGTATCCAGGAGAGATACCAGGATTCTTATACCCGAGCTTGCAGTCTTGATTAAGAGCCACGCGAACGATATGGGACGGCACGAACTGCAGGAAAACGATATGCGCTCTGGGGCGGAAGAGTGCGGAGCGCGATGAATTTGCTTGGTGCGGAAGAGAGCTCCAACGAAGTCCGAGACCACCACGGCTTCAGTAACAAGTAGACATTGCGCAGGAAGGGTGGCACCAATGCTCGAACACAGAAAACAGCGATTCCGATAGTCTGACTAGTACCGTATTATCTCTAATATAAGCACAGTCTCCAATAATAGCACGTCTCCAATAATAGAACACCTTGGGGCGGCATTCAAAAAATAAAGTGCTCAGTCTCCATTATAAGCACACTGTGTAAATTCATTATCTGGACCGGCGAAAAAAACCTTGAAATGTGTGTGTCATACATGAATTTGGCATGGCAACATGCCTCTGAAATGAGGTTGAAATAATAATGGAACAGTCTCCAATAAAGGAACGTCTCCATTAATAGCACGGGTCGGAGGTACATTGAAAAAATAAAGGACCGTGCTTATATTAGAGATAATACGGTATGTATGATGACCATCCTGTACTGGCACCTCCGCGTTGGGCGGAATGTCAGCCCGCTCCGAACTGGACTGGCAACCACTTGATCACTCCCACTGTTTCCTGTTGGAACAGGAATTGCGCCGTCGCAAGAACGCTTTGCAAAATCCATCAAGGCTCTGTTGGCCAGAGCTTGTCTTCTTTGGTCCATGGATGTCGCTGAGACTTCGCAGAAAAGTCTTCAAGTCAACCAATTCGCGATTCGAATCTGGAGGGGATCATCCTCCAAACATCGTTGTACAACGTTGCGAAAAGAGGCGCTTGACGATCACAAGCTTTGTTTTTGTCCCACTTAGGCAGCGCTGCGTTCAGCACATCACTGCACGCCTTTCTCAAGACGCATCGAGCGTGTCCTGGAATCTGTACAAAAGTATAGAGCTCGTACAGAGTCGATCATTTCTTTCACAGTGCAATCAATGCCGCTCACACACCGACGGTCTGTGCAACCGGTTTTGGACGCTGCTTCCCACCGCGTAGAGTCTACCGCCTGTGCACATGGCGCATGTAGCAGCCTGGTGTTTTTTCAAACCCAGGTCGAAATGTTTTGAAGGGGGTGGGAGCGTGCCCCCCCCCCCCCCCCCCCCGTAAACCCGCCAATGCCATGTGATAGGGACCATTAGCAAGCCGTGAAACTGCAACGCGAAGGGGGAGCTGGGTTAGAGTCCCGGCCTGACCACGCGAAACATACTCGTGTTTGACGAGTTCGGAGGGGTCTACTCGCCATGACCGCAACAAGTGGGTTTTAGTCAAGTACGTGCGAATTCAACCATGAAGCGGAGAATAGAACCGTAAATCGCGCCTCGTTTGGTCTTTGCGATTTTCTTCAAATTTCGAAAAATGCCTCACCCATTCTTGTTGGAATAAATACGATGGCGAAACGTACCAAACAACCAGTAGGACCATTGATTTTGGCATAACCGTTACTAACATGACACAGAACAGGATCGAGGGTAACCACAGTGCCAACATTTATGCTTGTTCAAGACAAACTTCAGCTTGCTCGTTCATTTATGTTTTGGCATGGACCTCGTGAACACAACCCTTTGCTGCACCCATCCATCGGCGATGTGGCCGTCATGGGGTTTCTTTCACTTTCATTCGGGTAAAAGTCAGTCAGGCTGAGAATTGTTCTCAAGAAAAAGTTCGCAAAAATAATTGCCAGTAAAAATATCAGAAAACTGTTTGAAACTGGAAAGCAGCCGACTCGCGTAGACAGGTTGTGAACGCGAGAAGCTAATCCTCAATCAAGTCGTGTTTCACGTGCGTTCCGATGAACTCGTCGTCAGGCGAAATTACTGGTCAGTCGGCGTCACGCATTTTTCACAAAAATTTGCGTTTCACCTGCTGGGAGAGTATGCGTGTACTCGAGTCTCATCCTGAGCACGTTTTTTTCTTCTTTTTTTCAGCTCCAGTATAGCTGTATTTTTCATTGCAAAGCCGTCCTCGATTGTTGTGTTCGTTGTTCAAACGAAGTGGACATTCAATCATGAAGGCAGAGGACATAGGAGCCTGATTGGAGTTTCTCGTGGCATAGGACGGCCACACAGAGACACTTTGGGATTTTCTGAATATAAAATACCGTACGCACGATGCTGAGATCAAATTGTGCGATATCAAATTGTTTGTGATCTACCACATCGAGCAGAATGGGATCCAAACACAAGCTTACCGACGGTTAGGCTGCCGACCTGACTGGACAAATGATCCCTGGCTTCACCAGACGCCAGACGTCGGACACCATGTCCTTTGCCGCGACGTCCATCTCCAAAAACAACTCCATCTTCGTCGTGAAAAGGCTTGAAATACTCAATATTCAACCGAGATTCGCGGTCTCACCCTTTCTCAGATCGAATCATTTTTTGTTGTAGCAGTTGCAGGGCAGATCCCTGCCACTACTTCAACAGAAGATGGCTCCAAAGCATGCCTGGAACAAGCCATATCGAGGTTGCAAGCCACCCCTCTCAGCACTTTTTTTGAAGAAATTCGAAATTTCAATGGTGGAAGATATACTATGAAGAGAATTTCAAAAAGTATATTTCGCGGAGCGATCGCTCAACCTACGTCATTCAAACTTTGCAGGATGGTTCAGACGTACATGCTAGGCATGGAACCACAGAAGATGATATCATAGCTGACACACAGAGTCACACACACAGCAGATTCGTGTGCACAGATACTAAATTAGTGGACGTCGTCATCTTCTTCCCGCTGATCTCAAATGTACGATGACGTGCTATTTCGCCTGACGTCCTGTTGACGTTTCACGGCTTGCTAATGGTCCCTAATAGTTTTCCCAGCCCCCCCCCCCCCCCGTTCAATCTCAGGTTGGCTAGGACCATGGAGGCAATATCGTAATTTCATACTCGGACCCCTCCCCCCACTCTGAAACGAACGCAGCTTGCTATGCTGGACGACGATAATCGCATGCATGTACAAGTACAATGTACAGTGTCGGTCGAGTTGTGATTTTGGCTCGCACCCCTACACCCCCCCCCCCCCCCCAAAACGAATGTTCGTTTCAGAGACGACAAAAAACTTTTGCGAAAATGAAAACTGTACAAGCTCACGCGCCCACAGACTCGTAGTACATGCCTCGTACGGTATGACTCATCATCTCCAGAAAAGTCAACAAAACGAAACATTCCGCCATGGCCAGACCAAGCGGAGTTACACACTCTCGTGTTTATGTACTCTTGATCTCATGGACAGCTGTACAAATGTAGGACATGATGGTGGTAGGTGCACCTCACGTGACTCACGTGACACCTAGTCACTGCGTAGTTCAACCAATCAAATGTACGACACGCTGTAATGTTTACTGTAGACACACAGTACATCTAAATTTAGGGTTCACGGATTGGCATGCTAGCGTCGCCAGCTACATCATGCACGTGACAGGCGCGTGCATATACTGTACCACACAATCGGTCAGTGCTTAAATCGCATTTTCCCATCAATATCACTCACTTTCAACTCTACGGGATTCATTACGGTTGGCTCAAACTGCCTGAATTTTTGAATCCACACGCACGAAAGACGTTCCAAGACTTCCACCGTTCGTATTTTTTCAAACGAGTTCCGGGTTTTCCAGTAACTTTGGCCAAAGTTCGGCTAAAAAAACAGGGGGAGCCGTTGCGTTTCCGCAAAATATTGAACGGTAAAAGGATAGCCAAGGTCGAGAGCAAAACAACAAGCCATTATTTGTCAAAATCAAACAAGAAACGGCTCAGCGCATCTATTTTCTGTGCACGCGCGCGCGCGTACTTTGGCCAACAAGGTGTGCAGAATTTCTGAAGAATAATAATAACAAGAGCAGCAGCGCTCGGAACAGCCGTGCTGGATACTTCCAATCCCGACACGATGGAGCGTGTTGGCTGTCGTGAGCTGCTGAAACGACCATGACATTTCTTTTTCTTTGTATACCCTACATATCTTGATGTGCCCTTGCTCAGTTTCGGCCTCTTTACAGGAAGAATATTTTCTTCCTTGGCATCAGCGGCCAAACAGCAAGAAGAGCAACAGATCGAGATTTGCAGGGAAAACAAAGATGCGTGCAGCTACATCTAGTCAGGTTCGATGCAGCTGCGCTTTGCCAGAACCTCAGCAGATAAGAGAAGACGACAGAGTGTCTCAGATGGAACTGGACCTTTCGCCAAGACCGCCACCGCCGCCATCATCAAGTCCAGGTCAGTCAGAAAAACCAAAGCAAAAATGCAAAGCCCGAGTGAAGTGAAGCCACTGAACTCTGAAGCCAAGGAAAAATTCAAAAAGTACGCTCTCCGGCTAGACTTAGAGTTGATATTTTTTACTTCGATAGGCGCTGTCGCGGCCTGTAGCGCGCGTCCATAATCCAAAATGGAGGCGCACGTGACGGGTGCTTTTAGTGGCAAGCCGTGAACCCTAAAATTCAGTCACTCACAGTCAAGTCTACTGTACATACCTTCGCACTCTCGTGATCCACCAGCAACTGCACACATCCCTCATGATCGTGTTTCCTGGCTAGGTCGAACGCTGTTCTCCCTGTCTGAGTAACTCAGCAACACATCACAGGAACAATAGAAAATCAATTTTGAAAAAAATCGTTCCAATTTTACAAAAACGAAAACACAACGAAGGCCAAGCACATAATCTACAACGAGACGAAATCAATCTCTCCACAAGACGACTTACATGTACAGAACAAGTCTCTCCTTCCTCAGCAACATTGCTACTCCATGCATCCACAGCAAAAACTCCAGTTCATGCCTCGACAAATTTGAATTTGTTTTACAGATTTCTACTCGAACGAAAATATCCACGACGAGAGGAAGGCGTCCACAGCGCCTGCTCCACGTCAGGAACAACTGCATGTCTTCTGCGTACTCGTTACAATAACAACAACCCTTCACTCCTCACTCGTTCCAACAAACACCATCAAACAGTCTTCTACTCCTTCACACACTGATTTCGAAATTCTTCAAAAATTGAACCACAGAGACCACGTGGCGATACTGTACGCATGATGTCATCGAGTACGGTATTGTCCAACTGGTACACATTTCTGACAAGAGGAGAGGAGAGGAGAGTTGTGGTAGTCGTGAGCGAGAGAGAGAGAGAGCAAGGGGCAGAGAGAGAGAGAGGCAGGACAGGTGAGAAGGACGAGTAGAAACTGTTCACTTCACAACAACACACAATCATAATACTTACCCTGTCACGCAGTGTGGTATCCAAGGTGACACCGTCACTGTCATGTGACAGCATCACCTTGACAACGTTGATCTTGTTCCTGTAGACTGCCCAGTGAAGTGGAGTCCATCGTTCCTGTAGAGAAAGAGAGAATGTGATGAGTATTGCTATACAACCATTACACTAACTACTACAACCACACACCGACACAGACCTGGACAACTAGAACAAACGCATCAACACACACATACACATGCACACACACACGTGCGCTCGCACACACGCACATACGCACGAGCGCACATGCACATACACACGCACATGCACACACACATGCACATACATGTACACACATGCAGATGTACATACACACGTGGACATACAAACAGAAGGACACACATGCAGAAACAATGAGCAGATTGTCTTAGAGACACACAGATAGACATGTAGGAACATACAAACTGAGAATTCAGTTGAGACAACCAGACTCTAAACTATCACTAGTGTAGTATCCCTGCCCGACCAATACGGAAGCAGTACGGAACTAATACGGAGCTTGCCTGATGTATATTTAGTGTATCTCCGTATGTAAGCGTACGGCGTCTGCTGCATAAAAGCGGCCGTGCATTTCTGTTTTGATGGAGAGAAGATTAGATTAGATTGGATAGCAATGAAACCTAACTCGAAGAATAAGGATTCAGCCTCTAGGTGAGCACCGGAGAGAAAGTTATTTATTTTGCCGCTTCTTCTTTCAATAACGATTATATCTCAGGTGTGTACCTGAAAGTAGAATAAAAGTAATTATTGTTGATTTCACCGCGCCTACCACTCGGCTACCTCTTACATTGGTGGCAGCGATGGGATTCGAACCCACGCCTCCGAAGAGACTGGAGTCTACCTATTACATTGGTGGCAGCGGTGTAGTTTAAAATAAAACGACGTGATTCGACCCCAGACCCCCATGGCTCAACCCGCTGCAGCTCCCTGCGACGAATCAAGATGAGAATCATGTTTCTTGCCGTCCTGGGCTTGGCCCTACTTATTAGCTTGCAGCACAGTCAGGGTGCTAGCGTGGATCACCCTTCCCTCCGCATGGCATCCACTGGAGACTCCGATGGCGATTCCAGGCGACCCGCTACCTACATGTTAACTACTGGTGGTGATGGCGAAGCTGATGAGGACGACAACAGGCAGGCTGCTGCCCAAGACAAGGAGGGTATTCCCCAAGACCAGCAGCGTTTGATTTTCGCCGGCACGCAGTCGGAAGCAGGAGCCCACTCTTCACTTTGGTGCTTCGCCTCCGTGGTGGGATGCAGATTTTCGTCAACACTCTTCCTGGCTGTACCATCACTCTTTACGTCGCGCAAAGCAATGCTATCGACAAGGTGAAGACCACGATTCAAGACGAGGAGGGAGGTTATTTGTCTGACGCCGAGCTAGCCGCTCTGAGTGACCGGCTCAACCAAGATGAAGATAAAACCTGGCTCGCCCTCCGCCATAGCTCCAGCCGCCGCCGTGGTTACTAACGCTGATTCCAGGTATGGCATTTTCTTTCCTGTCTTCCTTCAGTCTCCCTGTTCTCTTCAGTCTTCCTTTATGCGAGTGTGTGAATCCAGTTTAGTTTGGTAGGCGTCTGATCATGGTGAGCCACGGCTTACCCAGCTAACGTGGGACAATGTGTGTGACAACGCCCCTTATAGTTATAGTGTATTCAGTTCGGTTTTTGAACTGCGATGTTCCTGGCGGGTTGTGCCAGCGTTGTGCAGCAAGAGTGC